TGTGCGATTACGAGAATGAGGGAGAATTTACATTAGCATTCTAGACAGAGCAAAGTACAGGCATTTATAGTCTTTCAACTCAACAAAACGCAGATATCCACAGCGTCTAAACTGTCACGCTCCACTGGCTGTCCACCCAGTGAAGGCTCCATTTCAGCAAGGGATAAATACGGCTGCCGCGAAGGGCTCTTCATCCCAGCTGGAACTCAGCAGGGACATCATTAAGGGCGTGGGAGGTTTCCCCTTGCAGCCCGGAGGCCAGCTCTGCTCTGCTCCCTGCTCGCCTAGTCCCTGCTCTGGCCCAGCCGTCGCAGCCCGAGATGAAGGAGCGTTTCGAGAAACTGCACACAGATCTGGCACCACCATCAGCTTTGCCTACGACGCTGTCCCTCCTCTCGGAGCTCGCTACGAGTGTCAAGATACCTGGGTTTGGGCACGGGGAACCCTCAGCTGTGTACAAGTACCATTTTTTGGAATGGTTTCCAGACTGGCAGCACAGAAGGGGTGGAACATATCACGGGTTTGGCCCGACAGCCTGTGAAATTGGCAACGAGCAGCTGCGGAGTCCGCAGGTAGAGAAGGATCCAGAGGAAGCATTATCACACTGCCACGGCTAGAATTGCGTAACCTGTTGCTAACTTCACATACTCACTAAAAACGAATACATTTTTCTATGTATTGAGGTTGAAAAGAATTTTTTTAAAAATCGCTTTTAAAAATATTAACATCACATTAGCACATACGCACACCGAATACGTTCTGCCAAATTAAAGCTAGTCCAAGACAAAAGGAAAATAAAAATTATGAACGTTTACATTAATAGTTTAATTACATCAACTTCTATTAGTAGGCCTAATCTCATTGCAGATTTCCTAAGGCACAGAAGCTTTATTTGAAAATAAACCTAGAGCAACCCTCCCTCCAACCCAGTTTTGCTGGCACTTTTTCATATACAGACCCCAAAACCCATGGAGCAGCGTATCACAAATGCAACATATTATGACTAGCACTTTGAGAAGATTACCAACTGTTTGTACTGAAATAAATACAATTTGGCAGTAAAGACTCTTTCACAGCTTTGTCGTAATTTTTTTGTGAAACATGAGACGCATCAGTGAAACATGAGACTAACTGATGCAGACCACATAACGTCAAAACTAATTATCAAATATTAAACTCCATTATTAGGTCCATGTTTTTTTCAGTTTTATATTTATTACAAACAAAACCCTGAGGAATCTGTTGTGTCGTAAGAAATACAGCACCGAAATGCATACAGTACAGAATTCATCCCTCCTATTCACCAAGCATGCAATGCAGTATTTACACCCACAGATGTTTTCAAACGTAGTTTTATTCCAGTGACCTATTTGCAGTCTTCACATACATTTCAAAACAACATTATGCAAACATATCACAGGACAGTACTTGAAGAATCTTTAGTATATACTCCTTTATAAAAGGTTTTGACACAATGGAAAAGTCAGTCCAGAAAAGCTCACGTTACCAGGTTTCTTGATAAGCAAAATACCACGAAGTCCTGTAACCTGCATGAGCACAAGCATCCATCGCAATGGATCCCTCTTCTAAATCCCTCTTGTAAATAAACAGGTTTAAATTTTGTTCAGTAGACGAGTTTCTATCACGACACCGTCCATTTAATTTTGTGCTTTCCAAAAGGCAAGCATACTACAGAAATAAAATTCCCTACCCAATAGGAGAGAGAAATTCAGTAAACATGTATTTGTTTCCCATTCCAGCAGAGGAATCCAAGTTCATTGAAATTCTCATTATGGCTAAATCCAGCACGCCCTGCTTATAACTTCTTCTTCTTCGCCTGCTCCCCAGAGTCTAGTTTACGTTTCTTAGCAGAAGCTGGTTCATCATCTTTTTCACCATCTTTAAACAGAAGATATAGTTAATCAAAGTCAGCAAAGCCAGTATTTTTGTCTTAAACACCATCCTCATCTCAGAACAACTGACTTAACCACATCTGAGATGCCTGGAAAAAAGACACAGTAGTATTAACTGACAACATCCTCACTTTTGGAATGTGGACAATATGTGGACAGAATAGGAACGATTACCTGTTATTACTGCCACAGACCATTGAGGATAACTAAGAAGAGGCCTTGTTATGCTACCGTACAGTGTTTGTGGGGAGTGGTTGAAAAAAAAAGTGGGGGGGGGGGGGGGGAAGCATACGGAACAAATGGAGCAAGACACGAGACAGAAAATCTGCCACTGGGGAAGGATCACCCAGAACAAAAAAAGGAGCAAGACAGCAAAAAAAACCCCTTCCTTTGGAAAAGGTTTGCTGACAACTTCACTGGCAAACCAAAACATTATCATGTGTTCTGAAAGCCCAGAATTTCTCCTTCTGGTTTTGTTCTCTTGGTTGTTACTGGCTATTCTCTTTCTCCAGCAAGTTTAAAAAAAAAAATTCCTCCCTCCTGTCAAATATTTCTTTGCTTCCTAGATTACCATTACAGCTTGTACCATGATTAACAGTGAAGAGGATAATAAATATTTTCTTCAGTAATCTGTCACATGGACATTTTATTTAATTCCCCTCTTGGCCCCCAAGTTTTGCGAACATTATAATCTGACCTCCATCTACACCTAAGGTCAAGACGGCAGCGTTTGAAGAAGCTCTCATACCACTCTCCGTTTTAGCAGTACCACGACCGAACCCGTTAGCTTCACGTAACTACAGCTCTACAGACTCTTTAATCATTCCCTGCTTCCGCTAACGACGACGGAAGGGGAGCAGAGAGACTGCTGGAGAGCCGATGTCGATTCCAGGCGAACCAGAACACAGGCACTGAGGCTTAACCGTCCCCGCAGCCCACCGCTGCTCTGCCCTCGAAGTTCTGCCGGCCCCTTCTGCCTCCACCGCT